CTCTACCGGACACGACCCTCTCTGGAGCTTGGACAGCTGCCCACCTTGGACTCTGCACCGGACACTGCCCCCCACAGGGCTGGACACTACAACGGACACTACTTCCCAGCTCCGGACATTGCTCCATCTTTCCCCCTGGGTTCTGGACGCTTTTCCCCCTCCCCCTTCGGGGGCCCAGACACTGAGCCCCCCGCAGGCTCTAGCTAACAGCCCCTTGGACCCCAGCGCCAGACACTGCCTCCTCCCGGTTCCCTTCTCCCTTCCCCTCCACCCGCCTCATCTTTCCTCCCGTTCGGGTCGGAGCACCGCCAGTTTTACGACCCCCTGCAGCTCGGCCGCCGGCTGCCGGCTCTCCCATCCCCCGGCTGCTCGCCCGGATGCCTCTCCCCGGGGGATTGTGGTGGCTCCTCTGCTGCCGTCGAGGCTTTACTCTTCTGCACCGGGACTACGGGGACGGCGAGCTTAGCGGGGACGGAGACGAGGACGAGGACGAGGAGACCTTTGAACTACGGACCCCAAGTCCAGCGGGCGGCGGGAGGGTAAGTCCTGGGGGTTTGAAGCCTGGTCTCAATCCCTCTCCCTACCGCCGGCCGTCACGCTGGGTCCTGCTCCAGACTCCAGCCAAACACCGCGCTCTGGGCAGGCGGACGTGGGAGAGGATTTTGCCTAGGGGTCAGGAGTCCCGGGGAGCCTGCCGACTTGGATGTGCCTGTGGGCCTCGCGCTGGCTGTCCACCTGCTGGGGCCCTGAGGCAGGGAGGCGTCACGCGTGGCCCGACCTGGCCCTGCCTCTCCCTTCCCCGCCGGGCCCGCGTCCCATCCCATCTCCTTCCGCCTCCGCCAGCGCCGAGGAATGTGGAGAGGCCGGCTGGGCGGCTCGGACGCCTGGGTCCTCTGCGCTCCGAGGTCGTAAGCGCTGGGCCTAGATGCGATGCGGGAGCCCCCACCTCGGGGACCTGGGCAAGGGGTGACCGCCTCCTCAGATTAGGGTCCGTGGCGGGGACCCCCCGGACAGGGAACTGGGGGCCAGAACTCTTCGAGGACCCTTCGTCATTAACCTCAGGACAGAACCCTCGGCCCGCCTGGTGAGCCTCCTTGGGAATCCGGAGGGGATGGTGAGGAACAGCCGTCTCCCAGATTCTGTCGCAGCTCCTCGTGGGGAAACTGAGGCACCACTGGTGTGGGAGACCTCCTTCCCCCGACGTCCTCTCTGTGATTCCCCCGCAGACTGGCAACCAGACTTCCCAGTGCAATGGCCTGGGTCAGGCTCCCATCCCCCGCTCAGGGGTCCCCAGCAGGCCCGGTGGCTCGGTGCCCGGGTGGGGC